CTTCCCACTGCTTCTGGCATGTACATTCGCAGACCTCCCGCACGCTGCATAAGGAGTCTGTGACTGTCTGTTCTCACACTGCATTGGATGGGCTACAATGCACCAGTCGGTCTGCTACCTCTCCCAGCCTCCTCTAGAGTATATGGGCCAAGATCTTGTAGTCGGTATTAATCAGAGCAATGGGCCTCCACTTTTGGATGTCAGGCAGGTCTCCCATCTTGGCCAGCAATACCAGGATAGCATTATATTGTGATGGACCCAGTGTCTAGTGGTGCAGGGAGCTGTTGAAGACGTTCATCAACGCTGGTGTCAGAGGCTCCAGCAGTTCCCAGTAGAGCTCTGGGGGAAGGCCGTCCAGGCCAGGAGATATGCCGGTCCTCAAGGACAAAATTGCTTCCCTCACCTCACATTCCTACATGGGCTCCAGGAAACTCGCCCGGTCGTCTCCTGACAGCAGCTGTCAGCAGTCCCCAGATAAGGAGAGAAACTGCTCCTGCACCTGCTGAGCAATATCCTGGCCCTGGACCAGCTCCCCATTATAGGCCTCCATGATGGCCAGCATTCTACTGTGGGCCTGCACTACCGGATCCGCGGGTCCCGCCCTGAGTCCCTGCATCCTCCTGCTTTGTCTCTGTTCTCTGCAGGCTGCAAAAATGTCCATGGAGGCCGCCCCTCCCTTCACTCAGTGGTCCCACTCAAATCGGGCCCACTGCAGCCTCATCTCCTGGAACTTGCCCAGCTGTCGCTTGATACAGTCATACAGTCACACATTGACTACCTCACCTGTCTGGATGGTCTTGTAGAAATCCCACAGGCAATGCTGCAGGACTTGGCACCGTTGGTATTCTTTAATGTTGAGGTGTTTGCTGGGCTGCCGGAACAAAGGCACCAACTCTTCCTTCACCAACTCCCACCAATCCCCCTGTTTGACATAGAACCCTCTGATGCTTTCCCGTTCTGCCAACACCGCCAGGCCTCACCACCCTCCCACTTTGTCTTGCAAGCTGTGGGTGTTCAGCTTCCAATATCCTCTGCTATGGGCCAGGGAATTGCCCGTGTTGAGACACATGGTGAGTGCTGCATGATTGGAACAGTCCATCGGTGCTACCCTGCACTGGGCTGTCGACATGCTCTTTCACAAAAAGCCACTCAATGCGACTCCTGGCCTGTCCCTGCAGAAAGGTGTACCCCATTTGCGGATGGTGTGAGCTTGGATCAGAGGAATAGGAGGCTACTGCCCGCCTGCTGCTGGTTCCACTGCGGAGAAACACGTCCTCTAAACCGACCTTGCTACAGACCTGCGCCAGGTAGTGCTCATCATAAGAGTTTCCTCTGATAGTCGGGAAAACAGGACCAGCAGTCCTCAGGCTGGCTGACACAATTAAACCCCCCCCCCAAAAAAAACACCAAACACCATGAGGTCCAGAGGAAGGGAGCCAGTTCCTTCCAGAGATCTTTCCTTTCACACCTTAACTGGGACCATACACACTTATATAGCGATAAACAGTGCTACGGAGCACAAAGTCCACCAATAATGCCCTCACTGATTTCAACTGAAACAGTGGCCACCCTCACAGCAGTGTCGGCCACAGCAGTGAGACCCCCCTTCGGCTCGGTCCTTATGGAGGACAAAGTACCACAGGGTGAGACAGGACAATTTTAGAGAGGTTCCTCTGAAGGTGAGCAACTCTTCCCAGACCTTACTGACAAAAGCCTTAAAGTATTTGCAAATGGCATGGGTGCCCTTCAAGTACCGAGATGTGGGGGATGGGCACGGTGGGGTTTGAAGCCTTTTATGCTCTACTCTTGTGTTTTTCAATTTTCAGCAGGTGGCTGAGCCGGAGGGCAGGTCAGGCCCTAGGGGAATGGAAGGGCAACCACAAACAATGCAACTGACTCTGGCTCACAGGATACACTGCGCCTAATCAATGCCAGAGCTTTGTATCCCCTTTGGCAGAGCTGCCATGAGGAGCGTCTTCAGCGACGAAGGCAGTTCCCTGCAATAGTGGCTAACTGGGTTTCTGTGGCCGTTAACGGCTGGCCATGGTGCAAAAACACCGTGAGTCAGCAGCAGAATGGACGCAGGCATGGGCTGGGACCTGGATGGGCCTTGACTCCATCATGCTGGTCACTGATTGAGGGCAGGGAAAGGGTCTTACTGCAGCAAGTGGGAGCAGTTGTATTTCATGTTCGGGCATTGGTATCAGTTCCTCTAGGTTTCTCGTAAGCACATAGGGACATTAGCAGGTGCTCTCAATGAAGGATTGGCCCAGATACCATAATGTGATGGGGATTGAATTTTCCTTTTTTTTTAATGTATTTTTTTTGTATTTCCAATGGCATTTCTGTCTGTGATTTCGTTTTGCTTTATATAACCATGTTTTCTCCTGGATCTGATATTTAACTGAAAGAAATCTCAGGCATTGGCACCCTGACAGCAGGATTGTCTGGCTATGTAGACTCCCACTTCAGGCCCTACGCTACCATCACTCAGGGTACTGGATGGAGGAGCAGGCTGGGGTTAGGGCTGATGAGACCGTGAGAGTAGCAACTTTTCTCTATTGTTTCCCGCCTTCTTTTTCTATACTAGTTTCTCTTCTGCACCAAACTTGTTCTTTTCATATGTGAGCCTGGCTAGCTCAGTTGGTAGAGCATCATACTTTTAATCTGAGGGCCCAGGGTTCAAGTCCCTGGTCAGGTGAAGAAGGGATCCTTTCCTCTCCTCTTCTGTGTTTTCCCTCAAGAGGCATCTCTTCAGTACCCTCCTTGACATTACCTTTTTTTCTTTTCAGGACTTGGGATTTCCTAGGAAGGGCCATTTACTGCCAGGGACCAAAGGGGAAACTTCTTCACAGTCTGGAGGAAGAAAGGCCTCTGGGTCTACAGCAAACCGCTGGATGCTGACTTGTTGAGTAAATACAGGGCTGGCCAGAGAGGCCATAGAGGCCTTGAGCAAGGAAGGGAAAAATTGTCCAGCCAGGCTCTTCCACACCTGCCTGCCCTATGGGGTAAGGGCCATCCCTCAGGGCTTTGAAACCTGCAATCTAAATTCAAGTCTCAGTGGGACCTTGGGGTCCTTTAGTTGCCAGCTAACCCTACTGGGATTTCCAAAGTTTCATCTTGCTCTCTCAAATGACTTGGGAGCCTGTCTTTTGCCCGCTAGTTGTTGTGACTTGAGCACAAGAGTGGACGTTTGATCCAGAAGGCTGGCCGTGCCTGGAGTCCTGTAGATGGGGATGTGAGCTGCATTTCCTCTCAGTCCTGAAGCTGGGCTGCAGCCTGGCCCAGGAGCCAGCCCTATTGGTTGACCTACTGGCCCAAAGTCACTTGGGTGGTGTTGGTGTTCCCCAGGAATGCTGAAGGGCGGGCCTAAGGGAGGGGGGATTAATACTGCTCCCTATAAGTCAGGGTGGAAGAGGAGGGCTGCAAGAGTGGGCAGGTTGAGGAGCTGGGCCTTCTTGCATTCGGTGGGGGACGAGGTGGGCAAAGCGAACCGGGAGAAGCAGTTGCTGGCCTGTGAAGAATGGTTCGGCAGGTGACATATTTGGACCTTGTCATTAGCCTACAAGGTTGTCATGCTCAAGACCTATATTTTGGCCATGGGGAATTTCCTCAGCTATGTATTTCACCCTGCTCTACGAGTGCTGCTGAAACTGAACACGATGGCCTTCCACTTCTCGTGGGGCAATAGGATGTCCCTACCAAGTCAGGAGAAGTGTGTCTTTTCTGCTGTATTAAAAGAGGGGTTGGGGCTGGTGGGCTTTGAAGACTTTTACGGCCCTACTTTTTTGTTTTTCAATTTTCAGTGGGTGGCTGATCTGGAGGTCAGGTCAGATCTGAGGGGAATGGAGGGGCAACCACAAGGAATGCAACTGACTCTTCAGATATGGCCATATTTTTTTCGAGCCCACTGGGTGCAGCACTGGGTATGGGATGGCCGATGGTGGCAGAAGGGGGAGGAGTTTAGGAAGCCCCCTTTCTAGTGTTCTTCTACTCCCACCTTACATCCTACAGGATTTTCAGTGGGTGGCTAGGTGGAAGGTGCTTGCAGGATGGCTTCAGCCGCAACAGTGGCCACCCTCACAGCAGCGGCGGCCACAGCAGTGAGGCCCTTCCCTTCGTCTCAGTCTGAACAGAGGTCAACATACCACTGGGTGAGACAGGCAAATTTTAGGGAGCTTCCTCTGAAGGTGAGC